CAGCCTGCTGTCTGTATAACAATGGATATAATCCAACAGACTCTAAAGTTCTGGCTGTAATGCCCACTGAAATAAACAGGAACTGTGGGACCGAAAAGTGTTTCTGAAGTCTGAGGAAGTGCTTACATTATAGAGTGCAAAGAATACAGTCATACCTCTTCTTGCGAACACTTCATGTTGCGAACCTGTTTTTTCGGGTTAAGAACACGGCAAACCCGGAAGTGTTTACTTCCGGGTTTTGCAGTGTGCGCTTCGCACATGCGCAGAAGTGTTCTGCGTGTTTTGCGCATGCGCAGAAGTGTTCTGCGCGGTTCGCCCATGCGCAGAAGCGCTCTATCGCACTTTGCACATGCGCAGAAGCACTGCTCTGGCTATGGACTTTTCGGGGTGCGAAGGACACTCTGGAATGGATCGTATCCGCAACCAGAGGTACCACTGTACTGGTTATGTCCAGAAAAGCAGAGCGGGGTGTATGTACTTGGACCACTGCCCCTCATGGGTCCCTGCCCCACTCAGCCCCCTTTGCCTGCATGATGGCACCATAGGGAGGGGAGGAGGGTGGCAAGAATGTCAGGCAGCTGATTTGATTCATTTTCATGCTGCTTTTCAGTCGAATGACTCACAAAGTGGCTTCCAAACAATAGCTAACAACAGTGTGATTGAACGCAATAAAACATCACAAATACAGCATAAATCATATTGAATAATTAATTGAATAATTAACAAATCACCAGAGAAGGAATTAGCATCTATAAAACACAAAGCAACAGAGCAACAAAACTGGGAACTCAAAAATCCAGGGAGGAATTTCACGCATGCCTCCTGACCACAGACCCAGGAGTTCATGTGCTCATGCACCACATCAAATGCAATGCTCTTTCTATGGCAGCTTGCCATAGGCTGGTTCAGGTATGCATGCTCCCAACTGATATACTTGCAATGCTTCTATATCAGCATCCAATATGTATTCACCAAAACTATTTTTCCTTCCTTCCTTCCTTCCTTCCTTCCTTCCTTCCTCTCCCCCCTCTCTCTTTCTTTCTTTCTTTCTTTCTTTCTTTTTCAAAAACGACAACTCACAAAGCAGTTTACACACACACACACACACACACACACACACAAAAACAGGAAGAAAACTGTCCTGTAGTTTATTTTTCACAACACCTGAATAGCTCAGCTGGTTAGAGCATGGTGCTGATAACGCCACGGTTGCAGGTTCGATCCTCGTAAGGGACAGCTGCATATTCCTGCATTGCAGTGGGTTGGAGTAGATGATCCTCAGGGTCCCTTCCAACTCTACAATTCTATGATTCATGTTTGAAATTTGGTGGCTGTTGGGTTTTTTTGGGGGGTGGGTGGGGTTTTTTTTTAGCACAGGCAGATTGACAGTGTGATCCTAGGCTTAAACTTCCCCACTGAGTTCAACTGGGCTTACTCGCAGGTAAGTGTGCATGTGATACAGAACACTTTTAGAAAAGGAAGAAGGCAAAACCAATATTATATAGTCTTCAACATCATCTACTGAAGCACAGGTAGAGACCCTGTGTCCCTCCGCATGTTGTTGGACTCGACTCCCACCAGCCACTGACAGAACAGCCAATTGGAGTTGTAGTCCAAGAATATCTGGAACGCCACAGGTTTCCCATCCGTGTTCAAGCATTTTCTGGACTATACCTCATCAAGCTCTAGTTGGGGGGGGGGGGGATTGCATGTCTGAATGTTCCACAGACAGCAGGGGGTTCAGTGGTGTGAGATCAGTAGACCAGGGGGACTAGGCTAGCCAATGTTCACCTGGCACCTCTTTCTCAAAGCCTGGGGAACTTCTGCCTGGCTTAGAGAGGGAGGTGCAATGCTCACATGCACACGTCACGCCCTACCCCAATCGCCCTCGTGAGCTGTTCCCCTATGAAAAATTTCACTGCACTGCACTGAGGGGGTTCGTCACCATGCAGCAAGCTAGCAAGGCAAGGAAAGGGTCCTTCTGAGAGCAGCAGAAAAATGCAGGAACCCAGTTTCCCACTCAAACAGGCCCATCGGTTGGAAGCCATTGACTGATTAGTTGCTGAGTCATTAGCTATTAAAGGGAGTACATGGATGTATAAATTGTTCTTCAGAACTTGTGGATGAGCCATACGTTCTTTTAATTTTAATACTTTTAATGCATTTTTACATTTCCACGTCTTTCGATTACTTTGTTTTATCTGCTGCTGCTTGTCCTAAGCCGTTGGGAACAAGGCGAGTTGAAAAACCAGAATAAAAATGTTTCGTTTTTCTCTCACTCTCCCGCCCCCCCATTTTAGCACAGGGGAAGACAAAGAGATTTGATAAAATGATGTGCAGAAGAGAGGAAATTGATAAGAGTGGTTTCTATCCCTTTCATAACGTTAGAATTCAAGGAGTGTGTGTCCGCCAATGAAACAGATTGGCAGGAGATGTAAATCAGACAGAGAAGTGCTTCTTCACACAATGCAAAATTAATTTATGAAATCAGCTACTATAAGATGTGGCTGCCAACTCAGATAGCTTCAGAAGGGGAGTAGACAAATCGGTGGAGAATAATGCTACCTGTGGCTCCTCATCAGGATGGAGATATACTGTCTCCAGGACAGAAAAGCTACAAAGTGTTATGACAATGTTACATGCCCTGACTCACATGACTCTAGCCAAAAGGAAATACAGTGGTACCTTGGTTTACAAACTTAATCCGTTCCAGAAGTCCGTTCTTAAACCAAAGCGTTCTTAAACCAAGGTGTGCTTTTCCATAGCAGCGGGGGACTCAATTTACAAAAGGAGCACACTCAACAGGAAGCGGAACATGTTCTGCTTCCAAGGCAAAGTTCACAAACCAAAACACCTACTTCCGGGTTTGCAGCGTTCTTAATCCAAGTTGTTCATAAACTAAGCTGTTCTTAAACCAAGGGACCACTGTAAGGCTTTGCAAACAAACAGGGAAGAAGGTAAAAGTAAAGGACCCCTGGATGGTTAAGTCCAGTCAAAGGCGACTATGGGGTGTGGCGCTCATCTCGCTTTCAGGCCGAGGGAGCTGGCGTTTGTCCACAGACAGCTTTCTGGGTCATGTGGCCAACATGACTAAACCGCCTCTGGTGCAACGGGACACTGTGACGGAAACCAGAGCGCACAGAAACTATGTTTACCTTCCTGCCACAGCGGTACCTACCGTATTTTTCGCACCATAGGACGCAGTTTTTCCGTCTTAAAAACTAAGGGGAGAAGTCTGTGCGTCCTATGGAGCGAATGCGGGGGGGGGGGCAGGCAGGAAAAGCCCCCAAGAGCCACACACAAGCTTCGTGCGGCTCTTGCGGGCTTTTCCCCAGGAGGGAGAAGGGACTGACGTGGTCAGTCAGTCCCTTCTCCCTCCTCTAGAAAAGCCTTGCGCAATCTCTCCAGCCACGGGGAGGCTGCGCAAGGCTAAAGAGGAAGCCTGGGCAGCGAGCGCAAGCCACCCCCTCGCTGCCCGGGCTTCCTCTTTAGCCTTGCGCGCCTCTCCAGTCGCGGGAGGCTGCGCAAGGCTAAAGAAGTCAACTTTTAAAAAATATCTCTACCTCTACCTCTTTTTCTTTTTTTCGTCCTTTCTCCACCCCCTTCTTTTCCTCTGGATCAGTGTTTTATCTAGATTAACATTTTAGTTGGGGGGGGGGGAATATTATAAAAAAGGAAACTTTGCAGCTTTTATTTTAGTATACAATAAAAACAGATTAAACAAAACACAAAAGAAGGAAATAGCACAGAAGAAGAAGAGAAAAGGAAAGCCATTTACCAGAGGTAGATCTTAACCCTTGCCTCACCTGGGAGCTTCTATGGGCAGGAATTCCCTCGGCTTAAGTGGGGTGGGGGGAGAGTGGCAGGTAGGGGGGTATCTACCTAGACACTGAAGCCACATGTCTCTCCAATGAAAATTGGGAGTGGGCATTGTGTGAAGTGGCTGTGGATCTCCTGCCGCAGACATGTAGGATTGTATAGAGTTGCACGCAGCCTGTCCCTTGCTCTTTGGGGCTGGGGGGTGGAATAATATTTTTTCCCTTGATTTCCCCCTCTAAAAACTAGGTGCGTCCTGTGGTCCGGTGCGTCCAATAGAGCGAAAAATACGGTATTTATCTACTTGAACTGGCATGCTTTTGAACTGCTAGGTTGGCAGAAGCTGGGACAGAGCAATGGGAGCTCACCTCATTGTGTGGATTCGAACCGCCAACCTTCTGATCGGCAAGCCCAAGCGGTTCAGTGGTTTAGACCACAGCGCCACCCGCGTCCACCCTGCAAATCAGCAGACATTTGGCCCAGTCATAGCCTATCAGCAGGCAAGGTGCAGCAACTCTTTTTGTTTGCACAGGCCACTGTTCCATCTAGCTCAATATAGCTGACACTGACTGGCAGCAGCTCTCCAGGTCTCAGGCAGGAATTTTTCCTAGCTCTAATTGGAGAGACCAGTGACCAAACCTGGAAACTTTTGCAATCAAGGCAGATGTTCAGCCCCTGAGCTGCGTCCCTGAAAAAGAGTGCACCTCCTCTCCCAGACTGTCTCTGCTCAAAATCCCGAAGATATTTAATAATTATCCTGGCCGTGATAGGAGGCATGTGGTTACAGCGCTATAATCACACCCTAGGGCTAAAAGTGTCTGAATCTTCAGAAGTGCCATTTCCTAATAAAGAACACACACCCTTGAACTTGTTTTACTGCTGCAATTAACATTCTTTAATGCACAGCAAAGGGCGAGGTGCCCGGTGGGGGGAGAGTTTTAATTGTTTCAGGTTCTGTTTTGCAAGAGGGGAAAAAAAGGATAAAAGTAATGGGATTCGCTCTGATACAATATGGTATATTATTATGTTTCTTGTGCTGCAAAGTTTCCTTTCTTGTTTTCCAGGCCTTTTGCCTAATTGCAAACAAGGTTGCAGAACGTTCCGAATTGTAATCATAGAATGATAAGAGTTGGAAGGGACCATTAGGGCCATCTAGTCCAACCCCCTGCAATGCCGGAATCTTTTGCCCACTGTGGGGTTCGAACCCACAACCATGAGATTAAGAGTCTCATGCTCTACCAATTGAGCTCTGTTGGAGAAGGAGTCTCGCATTGCCAGAATAGCCAGGTTCAAGCTCTACAGAGCAGAGGTGGGGAAGTTAATTTCTCTACCCACCTCTGGCTGATTTCGACAGGTGTCCAGGACCACCCACCTGCCAGCTACCTGATGTCACAGTGACACCAGGCAACTGACAGCTGTCAGAATTCAGGAAGCACCAATCCAGTGAATCCCCGCCCCCCCCCATCCATAGTTGTGAGGCAAGGAAAATTGATGCATGTGGCCTGCTGAATGGACCCTCCTTTCCTCTTGCCGTGTGCTCTCAACAATCAGAAGCTATATCTATATAAACACTTGCCATCCAGCAAGGAACACATCTGGAATGCTGTCATTCTCACAGAGCAGAGATACGGCCACAGGGAGCCAGAATCTTACAGCAGACCCAGAGATCAACTCTTTCCCTGTGTCTACTCTGGCAGACCTGTCACAGGGCCTAATGATGTCACCTACAATACTAGGGTTCAAGTCATTTGCGGGTCATTCCACATCAAACCAACGCAAAAAACAAGGGTTTCGCCACCCACCGTCTCAGATTTTGGTGAAACTTTGTGTACACCCTTCCCTTATGGTTGAAAGAAACCCCCTTAAATTTCCCCCCTCTATCTCAAACGGTTTAAATTTTATAGCACTTCAAAGTTTCGTGAAATCTGTTGTTTCTGTCCCTCTTGAGATCCTTGGCCTTGTGCGCATTTTATTTTTTTTCTCCATAACCAATGATCAGATCTCTTTGGAATTTTACAGAGAGATCAATAACATGATCAGGATTTCAGGAAAAAATACACCAGCATGCAAAAGATTTTATAAATGCCTAAAAAAATGTATAAATGTAGCTTTTTTTGGTGGAAAAACTAGGTTTAGGAAACCTAAATTTTCAGCATTAGGGCACGATGCAATCAAAAGTTTTTGATGGTGAAAATTATTGCAAAGGCATGCTCTTTCACAACAAAGAATAAAATTTATGTGTCTCTTATGTCTTGTAACAAAATTTTACGTGTTTTGGACATCATGGGGAGGAAATGGCTACTGGGTACAACTTTCCTACAATCCATAGCTGTAAAAGTAAAAATTAATGAAACAAAGTTGTTCATCTTAAAATCTAAAATAATATTGATTACAGGGTTGTTGTTTTTCAAAAGTGCAGACTTGTTTTTCAGTTTTGGGGTATTTAAAACTATGAAAATTGGCTATACCATGAAATCAACTTTAAAAAAAATATCGGTCAGAAACTTTAAATGCTGACATTTTTTTATTATTTTTTTGATTGATTTCATGATACAGCCAATTTTCATAGTTTAAATACCCCAAAACTGAAAAGCAGGCCGGTCTCTACACAAAAAGGGTGGTGGTAGACACAAATCTGGATATCAGAAGGGGAAATACAGAAAAACCAGGAGGAGGAGGCATGTTGACCTTCTCGGGTACTCTTCAAGTGACTTTAAGGTAGGCAACCTCAAGTAAAAAGATGTCCAAAGGGAGACTGTAATGCGAAATCGCTGAATGACAAATATAAGAAGAAGTTCATTGGTAGCACTTCTCCTCTGAGTTTATTTTATTTTATAAAAACCCAACCATACCTTTACATAGTCATATTCATATTTATCTAAACCAGGGTTTCCCAAACTTAGGTCTCCAGCTGTTTTTGGACTACAACTCCCATCATCCCTAGCTAGCAGGACCAGTGGTCAGGGAGCATGGGAACTGTAGTCCAAAACCAGCCAGAGACCCAAGTTTGAGAAACCCTGGTCTAAACTGAAGGAGCGTCTCCACCCCCATCATTCAGCCCAGACACTGAGGTCCAGCGCCAAGGGCCTTCTGGCAGTTCCCTCACTGCGAGAAGTGAGGTTACAGGGAACCAGGCAGAGGCCTTCTCGGTAGTGGCACCCTCCCATCAGATGTCAAGGAAATAAACAACGATTTTACTTCTAAAAGACAACTGAAGGCGGCCCTGTTCAGGGAAGTTTTTAATGTCTGACGCTGTATTGTTTTTAATATTTGGTTGGAAGCTGCCCAGTGTGGCTGGGGAAACCCAGCCAGATGGGCAGGGTATAAATAATAAATTATTATTATTATTATTATTATTATTATTATTATTATTAACCTCCTCTCCCCCTTCCCAAAGGATGACCTGCTTGAACATTCCGAGTCTTGCATTCCAAGTCCCACAGCAGGCAGAGAAATGGAAGCACTTGGGATAGCGCTTCCTACAGCCGATGAAATGGACTGTAGCTGACGAAAGCTCGGGTCATGATAACTGTGCGAGCCTTCAAGGTGCCCCAAGGCTCTTTGGCGTTTTTGCTGCAAGAGGTTAACAAAGATGCCCTCCTGGAAACATGAATATCCCAACTTTGAGACATGCACAGCGTCACCGGGAGGAGCAATCAAGGGATGTGTGGACTAGGAGAGGGATGATGCACGAGGAAGGGCAGAGGGTGCCACTTTTGATGCACTGTGTTAGCTTTAAGCAGCCCTTGGAGAAGTTATGCTGTCTCCAGGAAGGCTTGCAGCGCTGTTTATCAGCAAGAGGTGGTGACGGCAGAGGCGGGTTAACAGGGACAAGGAAACAGTCACTTAAACTAAGCTAGATGCAGCCTGGTGGTGGTATCTGGAGGTGGTAGGAAGAAGCAATCGTAGATTTTTGACAGGAAAGCATAGGGGGGACTGTTTAGCATGTCAGTGGCATCGCAGCCTGCTGTGCGAGGGGGCCTGCAAGGCATGCAGCCATCAGTGCAGGATTTGGCCTTGCAATGCTTTAGCACAGAACCAGAGGGAGGTGGGGTACAAAGAAGAGCAATACATGCAGGTCCTGCTTACCAGACAAAATAGGTTCCCTGGAAATTGTTTGTTAGGTGAGTGTTTGCATAATGAGTCCACGATTCCCACTGATTCCTATGGGAATGTTTCTAATTCGTGATTTCCCCCCTGTCTCTCTCCCGCCTAAAAATGGCTGCATTTAGCATCCAGGTCTGCGGTATCTGTGGTATCAAGTTCAGTCCGGATTTTGTAACTAGTTGGATCTGTAACTGGTTGGTCTGCACGCTGACCAGAGATGGGGAACCTGTGGCCTTCCAGATATTGTTAGCCATCCGTGGTTAAGGATTGGGGATGACAGGAACTAACAGAATCAGGAGAGCTTTGAGTTTCCCCATCCCTGGCACCGACAAACAGCACATGGTGGCAATACTGATTTGCCACAAGTGTGCGCAGCTAATTAAGGGCTCTAAAATTGTCGCTGCAAAGCACACTTTCAATTAAAATAGCCAATCGATACTTGAACGTCAGCCCGGATTGGCACAGATGGCAGATACATCCCTTGGCAGGTCAGTTGTAGCCTGTTGAAAACTGCCCTGTCCATATCTTCTTGGTTTGGAGCTTCCAGAGCAAGGATCTCATGAAAGGCCTGGAGTCTAATCAATCATTCGTCCATTCATTCTTCCTTTTTCATTCATCTGAATGACTTATACAGTGGTACTTCAGGTTAAGTACTTAATTCGTTCCGGAGGTCCGTACTTAACCTGAAACTGTTCTTAACCTGAAGCACCACTTTAGCTAATGGGGCCTCCAGCTGCTGCCGTGCTGCCGGAGCACGATTTCTGTTCTCATCCTGAAGCAAAGTTCTTAACCTGAAGCACTATTTCTGGGTTAGCGGAGTCTTTAACCTGAAGCGTATGTAACCTGAAGCGTATGTAACCTGAGGTACCACTGTATACTGCTTAACAGTCCATGCCAACTGCAACCATAAAACCGCAAGCAAAAAGCCAGCACAGAAGATAGAAACTGTGATTGAAACCCACCAAAAAGTTCAGTAAGACATCAAAACAGAAACACTGAAATTATGTCTGTGGGCTGTTGCAACACTCGAAAGGCAAGACATAACAAGAACTTAAAGAGTATTTGCAGTGCTAGGCCAGGTGCACAGCTCGAGACTTTTGGCTTCTGCTGCTGGTTTCAAAAACTGCATCAAAAACTGCACATTTCCAGGGCAAAAACAACCTGTCCCACTCCAACTTTCCCTACTCAGCAGAGGCAAGTTTTCCTGACCCTCAAGAATCACTGCAAGTTGTGGACCTGCTGTTCTTCTCTCCCACTCAATGCTCCCAGATTCTGGGGATGTTCATGTGCTGCCCCTCCTCCCATTTATATATAAAAGCCTTTCTATACCGCCATTTTAAAAAATTTAGATAAAAACACAGATAATCACTATAGTGACTGGCTAATCAATATAAAAAATTGCAGAGCTGCAAAGGCACCCTTGCTTTTAATAATAATAATAATAATAATAATAATGAGTTCTACTAACCTATACTCAAATTACAGGGGAAGGGCAGGAGATTCCAGACTCCTACCAATTGATTTGAATGCTTTTTTGGGGGGGGGGAGGGTACAAAGAGCATTATTTTGTTAAAAATTGGTGGGGGTCGAGAGGTGGGGCTTGTGCAAAGCCTTCTACTTCCTTTCCCCTCCCATATTCTGAGCACTGCCCTGATCCTTAACCCAATTTGTTGGAGAACAAAGCCCTCAGGTGTGAAGGCGGCTTCTCTATGGATCTTTGTGCAACATGGATGGATGCTTGGGGGGGTGGAGTCAGAGTGTGTGATGCTGGGGCAAGTGCTAGGCAACATGCCCCATCTCCTGAATAGGGCTTAAATTCCCTTGATTTCCAAGGACTTTACTTCAGCTAATCTTTCAGCTTCAGTTTTCAGCTTTCCACTTACAGGGGGTTGGACTAGATGACCCTCGGGTTCCCTCCTGACTCTACAATTCTATGTGCTTTCACCCGCTATGATTCAGTGTGGTAATTAACGCCAGCAATTGCCAGTAAAACTACCTGACTTGGCACTTGCAGATACAGGCATCAACTTTTCCCTGCTTCCAGGGCTGCTGATCACTGAAAACAATCTCTCAAATCTCTTTTCATGCCGCATGTCCCTAGCTGAAAGAACAGCAGGAGATTTTTTTTAAAATGGCATAATAG